AGGTTTTCCATTCTTAAGAAAAAAGAATAGGATTATCTCACCGGGAAGGGGAACAAAAGAGCATTGGAAGGATCATCAGTGACATTAAAACCAGCGCGATCTGCAGTATACAAGTCTCTGTTTCTTGTGATAACCAGGAGCTGGACAAGTCCGGGGAGTCGTGTTCCGGTGGATCCCGAAGTGGGCAGCACACGGGATCCCAGTGGCCCTGGCACTGCCATCACCTCAGTCCTCGTCCCGCACGTACTGCCCGGGGGGCCATGGCGCTCTTGTGGCGAGTCACTCGGGTGCTCTCCACAACCTGCAGGAACAGGGACACGGCATCGGTTGTGTGAACCTTTCCTTGAATTCCCAACAGCCAGGACCCCCCTCTCTGGGTACGTTCTGCCCCACACGGTGCCCACCTGCAGCCCTCCAGGAAACCCATGTTGATCCCACCCTGCTCCGGGACCTGGGAGCGAGGGGAGCCCAGTGGGATTGTGGGAATCATAGAATATATGGAATGGTTTGGGTTGAAAGGACCTTAAAGCTCATCCAGCTCCAACCCCTGCCACGGGCAGGGACACCTTCCACTAGAGCAAGTTGCTCCAAGCCCCTGTGTCCAACACTGCCAGGGATGGGGCAGCCACAGCTTCTCTGGGCACCCTGGGCCAGCGCCTCAGCACCCTCCCAGGGAAGAGCTTCTGCCTCAGAGCTCATCTCAATCTTCCCTCTGGCAGGTTAAAGCCATTCCCCCTTGTCCCATCCCTTCATGCCATGGCAATACCCCAGCGCAAGCAGAACCCTCGAGTGCAGAAAGGGCTTTACCTCCGTGTTGACCTTGTCAACGGGTTCAATACCTGCGTACTGTGAAAAGAGGGGAAAAAGGTTCAGGGAATAGCAACTTCCTGGGGAAATATCCCAAGGCAGCTGGATACAGCCCCCAGCCTGGCAGCCCAGCACTGCCCCGGTGCCACCACTGCCTGGGTCTGGGTGGGAGCCGGGCACAGCCACCGTCAGCCCCCCGTGCCACCAGCCTGCTCCTGGGCTCCATCCCCCCGACGGCGGGTGCCTTCACCTTTCCGTCCTCCTTCACCCTCCTCCTCCGCTCCTCGAAGGGACTGGACTGGGCCGACTCGGGGCCGAGGGTCTCGGTGCTGCCCGGGGAGGGACCAGCCACTCTCAGCGGGGTGAAGGACGACACCAGCCCCAGGATCCCCGCCTGGTGTGAGGTGGGAGTGGAGACGGGAGACCCGGACACTGAGTGGCTGGCGC